GCGGGGGGTAACCAGCCGCAACAGCAACAGCAGCAACAACAGCAACAACAACTGGCAACAAATGTTGCATTGGCAATTGCCATAAGTCAGCAACTCAGCTCGGTAGCACTAGCAACATGACCACGCCACAGGAGCGCGCTGCCCAGTTGCATGCAGTTTATGTGAGGCCTAATGGGGTTGTTGTTGTTGCTGCTGCTGTTGCTGCTGCTGCCGTTGATGTGAAGCCACCAGCAACACGTCCATCTTCATCATAGCCAGCAAAGTTGTTGCTGCTGCCGTTGCTGCTGCTGCTGCTGCTGCTGTTTGCCATGCTGTGCACTTTGCGTTTGTCTGGTTTTTTTGGCACCATGACACCAGCAGAGCACCGATGGAAGCCTTCACAGCACTTCAGCCTCCCCCACCCTCAGCTGCTCCTGCTGCTGCTGCTGCTCCTGCCGTTGCTGCCATCCCAGCTTTATGCAAATGCGTCTCGACTGCTGCGGCGGCGGTGGCGGCTGCTGTTGCTGTTGCTGCTGCGTGTCAATGCAAACTTTGCTGACTTGCATGCGAATGTTGCTTGCACAAACATTGAGGCGAACTGCAAAGTTGTCGTCGTCAGTTGCTGTTCTTGTTGCTGTTGCTGTTGCTGTTGCTGTTGTTGTTGTTGTCTTGTCTTTGCTGCTGCTGCAACACAAACAACAACAGCAACTGCATTGGCTCTGGCTCTGGCTCTGGCTCCAGCTCCAGCTACGGAGACGGCAGCAACCGCTTGGCTTGTTGGCCTGTGCGACCACAGCTGGGTGTCCTGCGCGCGCACAGTTAAGCAAACTTTGAGGGCCAAGGGTTGGTACGGCGGACAACGGCCTGGACTTCAGCAATAGCCGTCAGTGCTGACAGCAAGCGGGACTATAGCTGGAATATACCGTTGTAATATAGCTCAGGTATATTGTATATATATTATTTTATATATTATTTATATTCATCATTCATTATTCAGCTTTCATTATTCATTTTTCATATTTTTATCATAATTCATCATTTTTGTTTTTCACCTTTTAGCTTACATATTTTATCTATTATCTTATATCTTTTTATCTTTCAACTTTAATCTTTCATCATTCGACATTCGACATTCCTCTTGATCATCATCTTCGATTCATATCCCTAACATCATTACCACCATAACAATCATCAAGATCATCACCAGCATCTGTTTCGCAATCGTCATCATGATGATGAAGCAATATGATCATCACCATCATCATCATCATCACCATCGTCGCCATCATCATCGTTATATTTCGTGCTCATTCATCATCTTATCACTATCATTATCATCATCATCATCATCATCAACATAATGACTATTAATACTTTATGATATCAACATATTTCGCTCGGCCTGTTACACACATTAAGAGAATGTAATTACAATTGCAAATTTGTATGAGTGCATGCCGCTGTCAAGTTTAGCTATAAAATGGCCAAGTGAGCTGCGCTGCTGCTGCGTAAGTTGTCAGTTTTGCAGTTGGTGTTACATTTTTACGTGCTCCAACGCCCAATGATGGCACGCACGCACACAACTGCAGTAATCAAACACGCACACACACACACACACACACACACACTCACACACATACGCACATTCAACTCGGTGGTCAGCGGACAAACGCCTACGCAGTGAGAGTTCGCGGCAATGGCCAGGCAACATGATAAATGTCCAATCTCTGGCAGAGCCTAGGTGAGCGAGCAGCAGCAGCAGCAGCAGCTGGAGGGCTATGAGTACGTGCTTGGCAGGAGCAGGACGTGTGCCAGTGAGTTATGCGGCATTTGGCACACACACACACACACATACGTCAACAGCTACAACGAGAGCAGCTTCAGTCATGGCACAAGATTATTCGGACAAAATCAATTAAAATGCCAGGCGGCATGACTCACTGAAGGGACCCCAAACGGTGTGCGGAGCACAAAGATTCTGTCTGATGGAAGAAGCAAAAAAGGAGACGCATCAGACCCATCACAGCACTGAGGTTGGTCTTCAACAACTGTTGAAAGCTTTGTGTGAGTGTGGAAATTACAACGCTTGTGGCTGCAGTCGCTGGGATTTGCATATACCCAATCATCATCATCAGCAACAGCAACAGCAACAGCAACATGGAGTCTCTCACACTTGACCCCATTTTTGAGCGGGCGGCACGTTCTGTAATCGATCATCAAGGCAAAAAGTGGCCCGCATGTCAGCGGCTCATCCGCATCAACAAAGTGCAGACATTGTGGCGTTGCCGATTGCAGGCGTGCAGCAATAACAACAACAATAACAACAACAACAACAACAACAACAACAACAACAACAACATCAACAGCAACATTCAACGCATTGGGGCAATAACAATGCGCATACCACAGATATCAATTAATTTCAGCGACGTGAAAAGGCCAACAAATCGTAATAAGTCAATGCCTGGCACACAGGGTTCGAACCGTGGCCTTTTCTCCATTATGCCCGCCAACAGCCAACAGAATCTATTGATAAACACAAATAAGTGTATGTGTGTGTGTGCGTGTGTGCGTCGAGTGGCAGGATGAATGTCTATATGTCGATAAGTCCGCGTGTCTCTGTTGAGAATCCAGCACAGCATTCGATGCAAAGTCACAATCATCATCAATCGGTTAAGAAAATATTTAACAAGTGTTTGAATGATTTTGAAAAATGATGTGCAGCATGTGCAGCAGCAGCAGCAGCAGCGGCAGCAACAGCAACGACATTGGATATGAGCTCAATTCCAGCTACGATTCTGGACGCAGCTCGAGCAACAGCAACACCAGCTCTACAAATTATTGCACGCGATCGCTCATTTCCAGCAGAAATAACACAAACACGGCAGCAGCAACAGCAACAACAGCAACAACAACAACAACCAAGATTCGATCATAAACCAGGCAGTCAGACCGGCAGCTAACCCGTTCCGTTCAGTCCATGCCCATGCCCGTGCCCGTGCCCGTGCCCATATAACCGTATCCGAATGCGATGTAGAGATATAGCAAATAAGATATGGCTGGGGCATGTCATGCGCCCGCGACTGTGAAAACATCTCAATGGCAAAAGTATCACATCATTCATAATTTCATTGCCGGGCAAGTGGGAATTGGGGAATTGAAGATGGAGATGGTAAAGGCGAAGGCGAAGGCGAAGGCGAAGACGAAGACGAAGGAGATGGGAATGCGGCATGGGGTATTTGGGAATTGAGTTGTTGTAGCTTGCCACAAAAAAATCTCTTGCCTCAAGTGTTGAATGTTTGCTCAAATAACAACAGCAACAGCAGCAGCCGCAGCAGCAGCGGCGACAACAACAACAACAACAGCAGCAACAACATCGATTCACAGATCTTGAGCTCTCGATCTTGTTGTCGATCTCAGTCAGAGGCGCGGTGAAATTTGACAAATGAACCACCAAAAATAATATATATGTATACATATATATATACTTATATATCTCTCTGATAGCATGATCATTATTAATGATGACGATTTGTTGATATTTTTGTAACGTGTTGTGGCAATGGCTGTGACTGTGAATGTGACTGTGAATGTGACTACGATCAGCCCGTTCAGCTGTCCGCTCTTCGATCCGATCTCCTTTCGACAATTACAAACAAGTGCAGTCCTGCATAAGTGTCAAGTCACGCACGCAGCCACCCGCCTGATGATGATGCACACAAATTGCTGACCAACTGTTGCTGTTGTTGTTGTTGTTGCTGTTGTTGCTTGGGTCCGATCGAACGTCGGATCGACTTCAACTGCCGCTGGCCGGAAATCTTTGCATAATCTAGGCTTATAATTCAATTAATACGATGGCTTGTGCACTTAACGCCGAGCCTGAAGTGCAACACTAGAATGCTGCCACATGACTGGCAACTCGAGTGTCGAGTGGACGACGATGCTACCTCCTCTTTCTCCTCCTCCAGCTTCTCCTCAGCCATGAGCTCTGCCGTCACACTGTCTGCCTCAGCTGCTGCATCGATCTTCTGATCTGTCTCTCGATCTGTGCTCGTGTGCACCGGAAATCGATTTCGAGTGTTGCCAAAGATCAGTTGGCATTAGCAAGTGTCGCATTAGCGTTCAATTGCGCCACGCTCAAGCTGCGACGTGCACTCGCCTTAAAAGCTCACAGCTGCCTCACCGTTACAGTCTTGATCAGCTATAGTCAATATTTGATGTGCCTAGTGAGTGGATAAGTTTTTGCTGTTTGTTGATTGAAAGTTGTGATCGGTAGTTGATTCCCAGTAATGAGATGAGAGTTGATTTTACATTTAATTTAAGTCAACTTGGCTAAGATATTAGGTTATAGATTACATTCATTCTTGGCTAGGCAGCATACTTACTACTCGTTATCGTTATCGTTATCGATAGACGAAAGCTGTTATGATAGCATTCTACTGCAATTACTTTGTTATTATTATCGTTATCGATATTTATCGAACGTTGTCCAAGTCCAGCTCTACAGCGTGTAACTTGTAATCGTTATCGATATACATAGACAAAAGTCGTTTTGGTGACACAACTTCTAAAACGTACAACTTATTAATCACAGCTCTATAGCATACTAGTTTATCGATAACTGTTATCAAAAGTCTTCAAGAAAACATTTTAAGCATTTTGGCTTTTTCTTCTAAACTCTCTGACTCTCTGACAACGCTGATTGTCTTATATGTTATGCCTATGCAGCTCACCCCAAGTACTTCCGGTTTCCAACGATAAATAGATAACACAGTAATCGATTTTTGTTTTTAAAAAGAGTTTTTTGTTTTGCATTTTAATTGATTTCGATTCGTCTTTAATTGTATAATTGTTTTGTAATTTGTGTTAACTAAATATTTTAGTTTCAATGAATCAATTTGCGTTGCTTATCAATTTCGGCTATTATAGAACTATGTACAAAATGCCTGGCCAGTTACATATACATATACATATATATATAAATAGGTATACTTTTTTTATACATTTAAAAAACAAGAAAATAAACAATAACAACATTTCTCATGATAGGCATATACATACATATTTATAAAGTTTAGTGTTTAAATATATTACAAAAGCCTTGGCAAGCAGCTGCATTTCTATGCTTAGAGGGACAGACTGAGACAGTTAGATGTACATTTAAAGAGAGAGAGATAGAGATAGATAGGCAGAGGGGCAAAACACTTAACAATTAGGCATTAAACTAAATTAAATTTAAATTTCATTTAAATTAAATTAACTAAACTAAGCTTAGGTTGTTTTATCTTTTCTTCATCTTCATCCTCTACTTCATTTTATAGGCTATGCAGGAATGTATGTGTTGTGTTCTGAGATTTGTGTGGATCATGAACGACTGGACAAACAATGCTCAAAGCATCGAAACAGATTGATCAACTCCGATTGGGTTTGCAGCGAGTTTTCCATGTTGCAAGTTTTCATCTTCTTCTTCGTTTTCGTTTTCGTTTTTGTTTTTCATTTCATATGAAATAAAATTTTGACTAGGAAAGGACGTTTTTTTTGTGTGTGTGTGTGTGTGTTTTCATAGATTTATTGTTGCTTGAGTAGCAGCCCACAGCCAGCTAATGCCACAGCTCCAAGGATGATCCATTGGTCTGATCATCCACTGAGCTAGCGATGGGCACGCGCTGGCGAGGACTGCTGCAGTCACACCTCGCTGGGCATACAGTGAACGCTCGAATCCTGCGACAGTTCATCCATGGAGGATTCTAGAGGGGCAGACAAGAGAAAGAGAGAGAGAGAGAGAGGAAGAGCAAGAGTTAGTTTAGGCTTAAGTTGAGATTTGCGCTTTCGTTTTGGACTCTTACCATGCGCTGGATATAGAGCCCCTTTGTTGCCATTCATATGCATGGGATTCTGTGCGTTATTCTGAAATGAATACGTTAACTGCAGGTTAATATGACGCGCAAATGAGCTTCCTTCCGGTTCGCGTACTGCAAGCAGAAATCGTTTTTCAAAATTCATAAATTAGCAAAGTCATATATATGATATGATATATGGATATAGATAGATTGATATAGATGTGGATATAGTAGGTAGTAAGTTCTAGTTAATACAGCTACTTAATGCTTAGGGTGTTTTAGGCTGTTGTGGGAGCGTGGTGGGTGGCTGGTAGTCTGGACATGCTGCACTAATCCACTACTTACTTTTGTTCTTACCAGCATGTATGTGTTTTTTTTGACGCGCCCGCGAATTCTGAAACCAAACTTGCGTCACGCGCTTGCTCAGACCAGTTACTGATGCGATGCGCTCCAAATCCTGGCCATCCGGATTACTGTCAATCTGAAAGTTGGCCTGCAGCACTTGCAACTGCTCCTCGGTAAAGGTGGTGCGCACGCGTTTCGTTTTACTCTTGTGATAACCATCACCATCACAGCCATCTAAACAGAGAAGAAGAACAAATTGAAATGGAATTTCAGTTAGCAATGCGACCATAAACGCTACATATACACACATATACATATACATTTATAGATCTGGTGAGTACGTGCCTAAGCCTGTGTCTAAAAGCATTTTGACAGTAGACCAAATTGAAAATGTCAAAAGTGTTTATAGTTTATAGCCATGTGGCTGGCTGGTTGGCTGCCCGCCTTTATGGCCAACAGCTTCTTGGTGGTCAACAGCAACAGCAACAACAACAACAGCGACAACGACAACGCGCACAAAACAACATTCTGAAGCCGATCACGTCGTCTGGCGCGTCGCGGCTTTGACTCTTTATGCCTCAGTTATGACACGATTTCATCAAGGAGCTGGCGACTACCTGGCGCTTAGTGCCCCGCCAAGCGTTCCAAATTGCCATACCGATTCGCTAGCAGCAGCCACACCGAACACACCATGCAACATGTTGCAACACAGCTACTTATTTCATTTGCTTGCTTCGTTTCTGTTCCTCTGTTTCTCTACTCTTTTCTCCTCCGCAGATTTCTTTTTATGACATTCTGATTTTGTGGTTCCGCTTACCGTCACTTGATGTGGTGCCACCCTCGACCGTTTCCAGATAATGAGCCTTGCAGAGCACCCGGTCATCCATGAGCGCAAACTGTTCCCCGGTGGACAATTGCCGTCCGCATTGATCGCAGGCAAAGCACGCCAAATGGAATACCAAATCGCGCGCTCGTCTCACCCAGTCGGAGGCGGAGATGCCGCGACAGCACTTCGAGCACTTGGCGCCGAAATTTCTGCAAAACAAAATTGAACGGAAATTGTTGTTAATTATCGATATGCCAACTGGTTTTTATATGTGTGTGTAAATATAAATACAAACATATAATGAATATGGACTGACTGCAGCTCTTTAAGAAACGTTTGTATAAATATATATCTATATATAAGCATTATATCTAAGAATATGTATATATTATAAAAATATGTCTATAAATATAATATACATATATTATTATTATAAGATTGCCTTTCATTAGCATTATTAGCATTATTCTTTAATTGATTTCTCTAAGGCCAAGCTAGCGTTTTTCTAGCGTTTTCCTTGCGTTTTGCAAGCGTCAAACAAAACGCTTTGCGATTCTTTAGCGTTTTGTTGGCGTTTTGCAGGCGACAGACAAAATGCTGTTCTGCGTTTCTTTCGCGTTTTGCTGGCGTTTTTAAAGCGATATTCTTGCATATACAATATTTTACATCAATTATGCATGCATTGGGTAAAAGTTGGCTGTTTATAAAATCGACAATAATTTTCACGCGTTTCTCTAGCGTCTCTCGAATTAACCTTTGATTGTCTGTGCCTAAGCATGGGGCAAGTACTACTGCATGCATTCGATTTTGTTTGACTGCTCGCGTTTTCCTCGCGCTGCTCACTGCTCGCTGCCCGCTGCCCGCTGCACGTTTTTCCAAGCGGAAGTTGCTGCGCGACTCTCTTGCGCCTGTGCGTTTTTCCAAATGAGTTGGCAACTTTGGCCGGCTTATTGTTAGCTTTTAAGCTTATTTTTACAAGCACAACATTGTGCCAAGATGACTGGACGACCGTGTGGCTGTATGGCTATGTGAGTGTATGGCTCTGTGGACACTGATGTCTCCATCTTCAGTTGCCGCCCCACCCAGCCTCCCTGCCCCGTTGGGCGGCCTGGGCCCACAGCGCCCAATGCACACTTAAAATTCTTAACTTGAAAAATAAATATTTTTACAGCATCTCACGGCGCGTTTGTTTGTTTATTTTCATTTCGTTCGCCGTCGACACCGTTTTCCGCCTGTGTGGACAGCAACAGACCAAGCGACAGCTAGACATGTATGTGTATATATGTGTGCGTAACTGTGTGTGTGTGTGTGTGCATCTGTAAGATACTTTGCTTGCAACTTGCATTTAAAGTCTGTTTCTCTCTCACTCTCTTTCTCTCTCCCTCTCCTTCACACTCACCGTCGCTCTCTGAAAGTCGCTTTCGTCGCGTTTTGGCCGCATCTTTCGACTTGGCTGTTTATCTTAGGGATTAAGTCGCAACGTTGTCGAATTGTTACAATTAACCTTAGACTTTATTTTCCATTCGCTTATCATGTGTGGGAAAATATGTGGAAAACACTTGTGCACACAGCAGAAGAGTTGGGTAGAAATCAAACAATGATCGCATCGATTACAAGAGGAGATATGTCGTGAAAGCGTGGAACAAATTGAAAACAGACAACGATATGCTATATAGATGCTGACACTGATTTAGTGCATATATAGACGATCGATAAATATCGATTTTGTCTACAGCAAAAAGTAATATATCGACAAAGCTAAGATTAAATTGCAAACTAACAAAGATATGGTATATATATGCTCTCACTGATTTAGTATAATATACTTAAGCTTAGTCGTACTTTGTGAAGCGATCGATAACTGATCGATTTTGTTTATATTTATATAACAGGAAGTGATATATGGAAAAAGTAGACACAACTATAGTAGATATATCACTAATTTGGTATCAGATATAGGTATATGCCTAAGCTAAATCAGGCTTAGCCTATAGATCGATAACTAATCGTTCGTATCTATATATATATATATGTATACTCACTTGCTGTAGTCGGCCTTGCAGTAGACCTGACGTTCCCTGATGAAGCACGACTGTTGGCGATCCAGCGGGCACATGCACATGCAACATCTGAGGCAATGGGCGTGCCACGAGCAGCCGCCAACCTCGAGAAAAAATCGATCCGAGATTGGCTCGCCGCACGCTGCGCAGGAACGCAGCTCAGTCTGAAATCGAACAGAAAATGAAAACCGATTTAGTTAAATAATCAAAGACAAATTAAAAACAATATAGATAAATCTTTAACTCTATATGCTACAATATATATTTATATGGGATATGCAGATATGTTTCGGTAAATATCATTTAAAGATCAGTGCACTCTGGCCGAACTTCTAGCTTTGAATGTAAATTGCTCCACAGCCCCAACAGAAGAGCGAAATTTATTTGCTCGTTTGATCTGAACTTTGAATGCCGAACCGGTTCACAGTGACATCTGTGGTACACTGATCTCAACTCTAATCGTAGCGCCCGTTTGGCATCTTTTGTTATGCTTTCCGCTGAAATCGCCCAATAAATCTATCGAATGTGCCGTCGGCTTCTGTTTTATATCTTTAGCTGCAACATTTAACTTATGAATGTGTATTAAAATTCCAACAACTAACACTAGGAAATGTCTATACAGAGGCAGACGAGTTTCTTTTGTTTTCATTTTGTTGCTGTTTAGATCGAAATATAAGTATAAAAAAAAAACTTATGCTAATTGTTATCATTTCAATATAGCTGAGTCGCAAATCGCAGTCACGATCACAGTTTGTGTCACAGTATTCGAGTCAAAGACAAAGACAACAACAACAACTACTACTACTACAACAACAGCTAAAACCCGGCCAAACACACAAAGAATATTTAACTAATTTATGAGCCATCAGCTGTGTGGCTTATCCATATTCATTTCGCTTTGATTTTTCGACTGCATTTTACGCCGCTTTTCAAACTGTTCCACCAGTTCATCTCGCTATATATAGGTATGGGTATATGTTATATCTGATTTTAAATGGACTTTCTGTGTTCTCGTCATATATCAAGAACAATATTTAAATCAACAGCTACAACATTTGGGATTAATTTATTGTCAGTAGCAACTAATTGTTGGCCAAAATCATATTGGAGTTGACTTTTGAATTAGGTTGGAAATTATAAAAGCAATTTATAAGCAAATTGTGCTTTTAGAAAACTGATAAAAATGTAATTTAATTAAAATAATATTTAAATAAAATTACATTTGATATATGTATGCATATTTTACACATAATGCTTAAGCATGATGTGATGATTAAAAATGCTAATAAGAAGATTTACAATACTTTGAGCACCTTTAACTGTGAATTCAAACTGCTCTATTTGAGCCTACGGAATGCTCTGAATTCAGTTTTATATCCATTTGATAGCTCCTCTTTATATATAGTATATTATATCTCTTTCAGGTAATTTTATATATTCTTTGTACTTTCTTATCAATGCTTCTCCATCTAGCATCCACTTTCAGCAGCTTCATCTCTTCACTTGACCTTCGACAAATTGAATCGTTAGCCAACCGATTTGAGCTTCTCAAAATTCTTCAAGTGCCTAATTGCTACAATACCTAATTAAATTGTTTTATAGTTTCGGCTACCGACAAAGTTCAAGACTTCAGTTCCAATTAAATGTCGATTAATTCTTATTTTTTGTGCGGTTTAGTATAAAGCAGACTTTTGTCTAATTTAAAACGTTTCAATTTCTCTTGTTTGACTGAAGTGAACAAATTTTATATGTATATACAATATATAGCATCAAATGCAGAGCGCCTGGCTTTAGGCATTTAATTAATGGCCAGCGTTTTGCATATTTTCAAATTCATTAACAAAAAAAAAAGTGGAAAAAAGAAATAAATAAAAATTGTCAACGGAAAAAATAAATAAATAAGAAGAAGAAGACGAAATGAGGCAGCGGACAGTTTAAAATTGTTTTTCCATTAATCAAAGCGGCAGAGAAAATAAATTTACCGTTTTTTTTTTTTTACAAATTAATTGCTAGCTGCCAATGTTGCTCTTGTTTCTGTTGTTGTTGCAAAACAATTGTTGAATACTACATATATATTTTTTTTGCAACAGTAGCTGGCAGCTTGTTATTAACTTTGGCTGACAAATTTTCAGTTAAAAGCGAATGCCGACAAGAGACAAAAAGACGTTGCCATTGACAAAAGATGCAAAATAAATACAAATAGCGCGAGAGACATATGCACATATGATACAAAAGTCAATATATGTATATACACACATATATATATATATATTGTATATGTATAAGTATATCTGTCTGCCTTTAGTTATATAGCCAAACAAAAAGCTGGCCGTGACTAGGCCGCAGGAGGCGGCACAAGATCAAAGCCGGCCGCAACGCCTAGGCCAATTAATAAATAAAAAAACAATAAACTATGCTCCATAGATCGATGCGTAAACTAAATAAATGTGACGCAGTTAAAGAAAAACAGCAGCTCAAAGTATTAGAAACAGCAACAACAACAACAAGAAGAACAACACCAGCAGCAGCAAAGCAAATATATTCATGACAATTTGTAGCTACAAGCTGCCAACTATTTATATATATATATATATATATATATATATGAATTCATGTGCATGTATACATTTGTATATATATTTTCATATTTTGAGGGTTAGTCATTTGGGTGGTTTTTGTTTTTTTTTTATGCCTGGGAAATTTGGCTTTGATATAGGAAATAAATAGCCGTCAAATGCAATATGGCCACCATCAAAGGCAGCAAGCAGGAGCAACATGTAGCTGCGCCTGTGCGCGCGTGTATCTCACAGATACGTATCTATAGCTATGTGTGTGTCAGTGTGTGTGTGTCTGTGTGTGTGTGTCTGTGTGTGTGGCTATAACTACATGCTAACATGGTGGCTGCTGCTCATTTTTGCTGGCCGCTGCTGCCATTTAACTTTTCAACCGCGTCGCCTCGTGTGACACGTTTAATCGCGCGCCCTCCCCAGCGAGCGAGCCTGCGCGTTGACTGCCTGCCTGCCCCCTCGCTACCCCTGTTGTTGCTCCGATTCCTGCTGCTGCCCCTGTCTCCGTGCCTGCCTCTGTCTCTGCCCTGCCCGCCTGTCACTTTCGTTTAACTTTTCACATTGCTCGAGCGAGCGCGCAGGCAGGCGCCCAAAAACCCAGAAGCTGCTCGACTCGGGGTGTTTTTGCCAATTTGTTTTCCCGACGCCCGTTATGACACACACACACACACACGCACACACTGGCACAGGCAAGGCCAGACATTGACTTCATATACATATATGCATTCATATGCCCCGCTGTTGTTATTGTTGTCATGTCTCTCTGTGCCCACTTCGGCAAAATATGCCCATTGTCAGAGCTGTGCCTGTGCCTGAAGTGGCATTTGGCTAGAATGTCATTTGGCTGTAATTGTAACTCATGAACGTTGAGGTTTTTGGCTTACAGTTGCATAAATCTGGCACAGCTTTGAATTTCAATAAGCCCAGCTGGGCCAGACAAACACATCACGAGAGGACATCAACTTTAATGTGCCCCATTTCAATTTGGATCTTTATCAGGCCAAGAGCTTGTGTATGGGCTATGTTAATGGACGGATGATGAGTAGCAGCTCATTGGATTAGAGATAGTGATTGGGGAGTTGAATTGTTATTATTGTTTTAAATGATATTGGTTGGCATTGGTATTGGACTTTGTATTGATATTAATAAAAAGTTGAGCGAAAATATTGAGTTTTATTATCATTAGTGTTAGTATTGCACTTGATATTGATATGAGGATAAATACGACATCTGAGTAAAATTAGGACTATGTTTTCATTATCATTAATATCATAGTCATTGTCATTGTCATTATTATAAATATTGTCATTATCATCATACTCATATTGCTTTAGCACTACCATTATTTTTATCATTATCATAATTATCATGATAACTATTATTATCATTGGTATTAACATTGTTTAATATCATTTTTATTGTATTATATGAGAACATTATCATGCTTAGTCTTTCCTTCATTATCATTTTCATAATCATTAATGATATAATGATTAGCACTGTAATAGGTTTATATTACATTCAGACTACATCCACACACAGATTCCTATGGGATTAACATACTCATTATTTATACCATTAGTAACTAACATAGCTTTAAGATATCAATCGCTTATCATCAAACTCTATTGACCTTTCAAGCCACACTTCCCAGTGCATCAAAGGCTACCTAGTTATCCAATCTGGTAAATATGGTAAGCATACGCATACGCAACTCTTTCCAGTTATCTCTTAAATAAAGTTCAAAATTGATGACAACTACAAGCTATTATGAAGATTGTTCATGATTTCAGCTACTATAAAAGTCAATTCATTATCATATGGACAGAATTGAGTCGGATAAAAATGCTAAAAAGCCAGATAAAAGATTAAAGAGAAAAAGATCTGCACATAATGATGGTAATATGAATAAACAAAAGAGATTATTAACAAATTTTATAGCACACAAGAGAGATATATATGCCCGATAAAGAACAAAAGAAAAAGTAGCTAAAAGAGCAGTTGAAGGTACTCAAAAACGGAATCCAATGCGGTTTGCTGACTTCTTGATTATGAAGAACTAGATAAGGCGGGCAGTTTGTAAATATGTCTTTCTCACATTTTTGCCGGCCATTGTCTTTGCTCTCTCTTTCTCTCTCTCTCTCTCTCTCTCTGTCTCTCATTTAGTATTTTGCTAGATATGTAAGTATGTACGATGTGTAGATATTATATAAGGGGAATGGCTTTAGATCGCTATCTACGCAACCATAAAAATTCCAGGCACAAAACTTGCACCTTGCAACTTTTGCTCAAATGTCATAAATAACATGGCACATAAAGTGCGATACAAAAGGCCAGAGAGAATAGAACTATAAAACTGAATAAGAGAACAAAAATTCACAACGCGACGCTCAAGAGTATGCAATAAAATGCGCTCACACTTGACAGCGAAGTCTCTGAAGTGTGAGAGTGGGCCATAAAAGGCGACAGATACTCATATATAGCCAGAGACGTGTCTATGCATATCTAGAGAATTTCATTTGAATATCAACTGAAGCTAGTCAACAGTAGCCACACAACATAATAGAAAGAACTATATCATCATCTGCTGCTGCTGC